CTGATACAAAACACACAGTGTCTAGACAGCCATCCCCAGTCTCTGTGGGGGCAGCTCCCTTGTGAAGAGAACCCTACTCTCTCAGGGGGGAACCTGCCTCTCCCCCTCGTGCAGAAATGGTGTACTTCATCCATGTGAAAGTTAAGGCCCTGTCAGATTATCCTTTCTAGTGATAAAAGCTTTGGGAAACGTGTTATCCAAAAATACTACATGAAAAAGAACTATAGATATTAATTAAGTCCTGTGAATACTGGTTTAACAATTGGCAGCCATTGAAAAATGTCTGAGTTGTAAATATATAACCAAGAATTTGGTGTAGAATTTTATGCAGTGAAACAAATTAAACACAGTGACTAAATGGGCCAGGGATTGAGTTCAGTGTGGCTGCCACTTGCCTCACAAGTGCAAGGTCCCAAGTTCAATCCTCTGTACCAAAACAAAAACAAAAACAGTGAATAAATAAATGCTTCTTTAGCAGGTGATATCAGTTTTTTTGCCTTCAGAAACCAGGAAGCAGTTTTTTTCTTTGGGTTTTAGTTGGTGTTATAGTGTATTGTTTCCTAGCTTCCTTAATGTGCTCCTTGAAAGGCTGAAATAATTGACTGAAATCAGATGTCTTTTTTTAATCAAGATAGCCAGCAGATGGCCACAGAAAGGGCTTCCTAAAGTCCCCTTTGAGCATATGCGAGGTTGTGGTGCCAGGGGCCTCCTTATTCCAACAGTGGGGAAGCTGTCTTATGCTGCCACAAGTGTAAGGACATCTCTGCTTTCCTCTGTGAGAATAGCTGCTGCTTATTCCACAAGCTGGCCCTGGATGTCCACCTCACCTCAGCAGAACTGCCCATGCCAGGGACAGGCTGGCAGTGTGGCCACTTAACACCCACATACCACTGGTCTAGCACCAGAGCTCTAGCCTCCTGAAAGTTAGAATGGCACAAAGGAGAGGAACATAGTGAGACCCTGTCTCAAAAAACAAAAAAGCAAACAAACAAAAAAAGAAAATCATTACATAAACTTTTCATTATGAAATTTTGGAAAATGTAATGCCAAAAGTGAAATTTTTCACATGATATTTTTGCAAGGAGGCAATTACCATTTTTACCCAAATGGTACTTTATTATTTAATTTTCCTGCATGAAAGCAAAGGAGTGGGTTAAATGTTTTAGGGGTCTTTTCTCTCCTCAAAGTCTTTTCTTGCAAAACAAATAACTAATAGTGACATGGCTACAAAATACTATGAAAAAGGCAGTTGATCATATATTTGCCTTTTAATGAAACATATAAGAGGTGATCAAAATATACAGTGACTTAAAAAATTTATTACAGTAAAAGACACATTGTGGCAGGGATTTAGTTCAGTGGTTCTGCTGCCTGCCTCAAAAGCACAAGGACCCAAATTCAATCCCTAGTACCAAAAAAAAAAAAAAAAAAAAAAAAAAAGACACATTGCCACTAATCTCAAAATGCTGTCCCCTTGCTCTAAACTCACTCCATTGTTCTTGACACTTTCTGAATCAGTTCTGGAAGTCCTCTTTCATCTGTTGCCAGATGCCATCCAGTGGAAGGGCAGGCTCATTAAAAAAAAAAAAAAATTACAGAGTGTCCTCATCCACTTTATTCACTGGATCTGGCACTGTGTGGCATCTGGCTGTTTTCAGAGTCAAAACAACAGTGATATGTAAATCCTGTGAATCCATTCAATAAATTAAACATTCACTGTATTTTTTTTTTAATCACACCTGGTAATTTACTCCCTACTCTACTCTTAGAAAGTATTTTGTTTCCAACTGTGAATCTTTTGCAATTTATTTGACTTTTAATTCCTAGAAAAAATTTGAACTAAATTTAACAAACTGAAGGAATAAAGGTCCAGGATTTAGCTCAGTGGTACCTCCCCTGCCTCATAAGCGCAAGGTGCTGAGTTTGATCCCCTGTACAAAAAAAAAAAAAAAAAAAAACCCCAAAAACCCAAAACCAAAAAACTGAACAAATGAAAATGAGGTAAGGGGGCTTTGCTTGTGATATTTCACAGCCTGTCTTTAGTTAACAAACACTTGGTTTGAGCATGAGTTTTGGGTAGGTTACTTTAACTCTTCTGTGTAGTTACTGCTACAGTGATGAGCTACATGCTATTTTAGAATATTTGGGAAGATTTAGCCACACAACTGCTGATTCTTTTTCTGAGTAGATGGGTCTTGATGTGTTTTTTTCCTAGTTGAAAGTATGATAGGTAATCTTTGCAGGATATATGTCTTTATTTAAATGTGCCAGGGAATCATGGTGCTAAAATTCTGTGGTAAATCCTTTGCAGACTTGTTACATGTTTTGATATGATAAAAACACCAACTGGCATATATTAGAACTTGTTTTATTTGCTACTAACGTTCCACATAGAAGTAAAGCCCTTCTGTGTGTCCCTGTGTCACTTCATTTTCCTGCTCCCTGGCTGCTTTCCTCAGGGAGGGCGGGAGCTGCAGTGTGCATAGACTCTTCGAGCTCTCCTGTGCATGGCGTGTCAGAGAGCTCATGCTGAGCTGCATTTAGATGGCCAGATGAGAGACTTGCCCGGAGGGAAGCAGGTGCATCCACAAAAACTGGGAGCTGACTGTTCAGGCAGCACATTATAAAGCGTGGTGTTTATAGTGTGAAGCAGAGAAAATGTCTTCGGCTTTGTTTAGCCACTTAGAAAGACAGAGGGGACACTTTAATGGTATGATCTGTCCACTTCAAGGATCTTTCTCATCAGAGGGTTTTTCGTGGGGGTAAGGAGCAAGGGCAGAGATATCCACTGGAACAGGAGCAGCAGCTGCTAGATAGAGCTAGATAGGACAGGAGCTAGATAGGGCTGGCTCATCACTTGTATACCCGGTGTGAGCAGGCCTCTACCCCAGCCACACACACAAGACTGCTTCCCATTTTGACCATTTTTAAATCCAGTAACTTCTTTCTTGCCATGTTAACCGTCTTCTATGTTAGTGTCCCAGCGGAAAGATGAGAGCAACCTCATGTGGGACAGCTCCTCAGGCTGCCACAGCAGCTCTCTCACTTGCCTCACTGTGCATTGTTGAGGCATCCTGCAGGAGGTGGAGTGTGGATGTCTTCAGCTAGACTGGTGGTGTGCACTCTGGCTGTGGTGCACAGGTAGCCGCAACTTCACACGTTCTGAAGGGTAACACTGGGTTTCCACGGGTGTATGGATGGTCTACATCAGCAAACCCTGCAGTAATGCTCTGTGTGCCCCTGTAATTCCATTTTCCCTTAACCAGGTACTAATAACCAAGACGGAGGGAATGTGCTGCCCTGGGAGGTGAAGAGCAACTATTTTACATGGGGGAAAATATGTTCCTAAGAAAAAAACTTTTTTTTTTTTTAAAAAAGGAAATTTAATGTAGTCTTGTGCATCTGAAAATGTATATGATAATCTCAGAGTTTATATGTATATATATCTATATCTTCTAGAGGTTCCTTCTGTTTGGTACTTAGGTTGAGTGTTGTGATTTTTGGTGTTTGTTATTGTTGTTTGGTACTGCAAATCAAACTCAGGAACATGTATGTGCTTGCGAGGCGGGCGCAACACAACTGAGCTAAATCCCCAGCCCCAGGTTGAGTTTTTATAATCTATTTTTCTCTTTCTTTTTCAGTGTTTTAAACCAACAAGCATTATTTCAGTGTTAGAGGCTACTCTAACCAAAGTGGGTCTGATCTCAGTGGGGTAAAAGCAAGGTGTCAGCAGGCCTGTGTTCCTTCTGGAATCTCTAGGGAGAATGGCTCCTGGCCTTTTCCATCTTCTAGCAGCTGCCTAGATACCTTGGTCTCTAACCCCCTACTTTCTCATCAAAGCTAGCAGTGGCCAGTTAAGTCCATGCTGCTTCACTAACTGCTTGTCTCTTTTTTTTCGTCTCTCTCTTTTTTGTTTTTGTTTTTGTTTTTCTTTTTTTCTGGTACCGAGGATTGAACTCGGGACCTTGTGCTTGAGAGGTAGGTGGCAGAACCACCGAGCTAAATCCCCTTCCCATATCTCTTTTCTCATATTAAGAGTGACGCTAAGTCTGTCCAAATAATCCAAGACATACTCTTTTTTGGTATTGGGGATCCAGCTCGGGACCTTGCGCTTGCAAGGTGGCAGCAGCACCACTGAGCTAAATCCCGGGAATTTGTCAAAAGTTGGAGTCCAGCTTGTGCTGCACAGTGATTTAAGACCAGCCTGGACAGTGAGACACTATCTTTTAAAAAAAAGAATTAACTGATTAGCAACCTAAATTCCATCTTTCTGTGTAACCTAACATATTCAGACATGGAAAAATAACACGTGGACAGTGTTGGGAGGCTCTTTGCAGATCCTAAAGGCTTTGTCAGATGTTTCTACTATTTTTTCAATCTGTCATCCTACTTTTTCCTGCCATCAACTATCTTTGGATAATCATTATCTTACACTTTATTCCACATTTCTCTGTCACTCTTTAATCGCAGATGCCCTTCAGTGGGCCATGGTATCATTGTTGTCCAGTGCAGAGCTAAACTTGGCCTTTTAAGGTAGATTCAGGCACTTGCTAACTGTGTTTCTCCCCATAATTTGAGGGAGTGCTGAGTTCAGGTTCAAAGATCATGCCAGAACTGATCTTGTTTGCTGATACGGAAAGAAAGGCAGCTAGTGGTGGCTGTCTGGCTTCTCTCTAGTTGCTATGTGCCTTGCTTGTTATGGGGTACAAGTTCTGTTCCCAGATGTCTCAGGAGTGATGAAAGGCTATTGATGCTCTTTTAACCTAACAAGAGTTTGAGAAGCTGAGTTATATTTCATCAGCTAAAAGGAAAATCTAGTTCTTGAGTTTCAGAGAATGAAACACCTAGGGAATTAGCAGCCAGAATCTCACAGGTGGTAAGAAGCAGGCCTGTTGGGATACTTGCAGGTAGCACTGTATTGGAGTTTCTTGGTCCTGTATACGGATTTGCCTGGATCTGGGGCCCGTGTCTTCTACTGATGCATGCATTTGTCTTCTCAGGTTCGAGCCCACCAGCTGGTCTTGCCACCCTGCGATGTAGTGATCAAAGCTGTTGCTGACTACGTCCGTAACATTCAGGACACTTCTGACCTGGATGCCATAGCTAAAGATGTTTTCCAGCATTCACAGGTAAAATGCACAGACTCACAGGAGAGGGCTTTGCATGGTGGTGTCTTCAGTTTGGGAAGGAGGCTTGGGAGGAGCAAGCTGACTGTATGTCTGGGAGCACTTGCCCTGTCAGGCCACTGTGAAGGAGCCCTTGGCCTCAGGCTGGCAGGTTGAGGCTGTCACAGAGAGCCATGCACTGGCCAGGCAGTCTCAGCTACTTCATCTCCCTTGCCTAGCTTTACTTCTAGCCTGAACAGAAGGAGCTGTATTAAAATGGCTGATTGCTGAGTTTCTGTTGCTCCCAAGTTCTTGCATTAATAAGATCTGTATTCCAGAGCATTCAGAAGATAAACTGTATTAAATGGTAGTATGAATCGCTGGTTTATTGGTACCCTGCAGGTGTTGGTCAGAGATTTTCTTTTTTGGGAAGTAAGGCATACAGACAAGACGGTGTCCTAGAATAAGTGAGGTTTGGGGTCACTCCTGCCCTGTCTCTGAAGAACTTAAACCAGCCTGGACAGGTGCATCCCTGATCAGTGTGCTGCTGCCCATTCCACTTGCTGCAGGTGGCCAGTTGAATCCCTCAGCAGGATCAGAGATGGAACAGAGATAGAACCAGAGAAATCAGTGAGCCAGAGCCCAGCTCTGCTGCTAGCTTAAAGTTATAACTGCACTGCTTTAAATGAGTTAGTATTTCATTTGATTCTTCAATAGTAATCTTGTGATTTTCCCCTAGGTTTCAGTATCATTCTAAATTTTTATCTAAATTGAAAGGCGGCTACAGATTATTATACATGTGCTGAATTATAAAAATGTGTTCATACACATGACCAGTGGCATAACTAAGGTTTTCCTACATCTGTTTCAGTCTAGAACAGATGACAAAGTTATTCGATTTAAGAGAGCAATTGGATATTACTCAGCGACTAGTAAGCCTATGTCATTTCATCCACCACATTACTTAGGTAAGTAAATAAGGCCTCTCTGTGATCGGTATTGACCATTCAGTAATCCAGAGGTTTATTCACCACCCAATCTTGTAGATTTATTCTTTGAAAATGTGATATTTTCCCCCTGCATTTACACAAATAAGTGTAGCCGACTTTCCTAGTAATCCCTGAGATACTGAGGAGTAAGAGCAAACCTGTAAACCTTTTAGAGAATAGCAAGGGCCACGGAAATACAGGCTGCAGATCATAGTGATGTACAGATATTGGTATCTCTGAATCCCCTGAGGATGTAGGAGGGCCTTTGGGTCTGTAAATGACTTCATAAATGCTTTAGATTTATAACTTTTTGGGGGGTGGGGATCAAAAGACCATATTTGTTGTAGAGATTTGAAACTGATGAAAATAATTTATAAACTTAGACTGAAGGCTTCTTATGTATGATGGCTTATGGGAGGTTGTAAAGCAGTGAACCTAACTACCTTCCTCTTTTCTGAATCAAACCTGCCTCATGAATGTGCACAGTAGTAAAGTCAAAGAAATCATGCTCCAACTCTTGAAATTTTTTTTCCTTCATGTCAGCTGTTAACAAAAGACGGTATATTCAAGAGATTCTTGAAGGAGTTAGATTTTTATTGGTTTCAGGAGTTAAATTCCAAGGTTGAAAATATCTCAAAGAGCTATACCATACTGTAATAGTGTCCTGCATATATATGAGCATAGTGTCGCCTATGCCAAGTACCGGGGACACTAGTTGGAGACCTGCTGGCTTGGGATGACTGTACACATTGAGGGGAAGTCAGCATGGCCTGTCAGATGCTGTGGGTGAAGGAGGTGGAGACAGAGGGCCAGGACTGCCTGGCTACCTCTGTCTGCCTAGTCTCCCTGTTGATGACATAGATACACCCATTACACTTGGAATAAATCCTAGCTCCTTGCCCACCTGCCCCATGACCCAGTGGCAAGAGCCAACTCCTCCTTCCTGAAGCCCAACCTTCTCTTGCTTTGAGGGAACCAAGCTTGCTGGGCCCCTGTGCCAGCTGTTGTGCTTAGAGTGCTTCTTTTCCTAACTGTGTTTGTATCATCTGAGGTATGAGATCCAGGCTTGGATGTTTCTTCTCTGAAGCCACTAGGTAATCTCTGTTAATTACTACACTCTGCTGCGTGCCCTTCTTCACCCTTGCTCGCTCCAAGAATGTAGGGGCTGAAACAACCAGAACCTGTTTTATATCACCAGTGGATAAACTCTTGACTGAATGAATTAATTCATAGTGGCTTTTAAATCAGGAGAGAAGTAATTAGATGTTTGGGGACTATTGGAGAAAAGGGTACAAGGTGGTAGAAGGCAAGAGGCTAGGAATACACTGTTCCATCATCAGAAGTCTACTGTTCACCCTGCAGACCTTGTGGCAATGAGGTTGGCTCAGAGACCTGACACACCTGGCAACTGGACCTCCTGGCCTTGGACACTTTCTTCTATTAGAACAGTGACATTTATGCATGTACAGAAAAGGTATATATAAAATGCTTTAGTGAAGTGCTTGTTCAAAGGCAGATGCTATCACTTTTATTCTTATAGGCAGAATGGCCTAAAAGGGGACTGAATAATTGAAGGTTGAAGTGTGTTCATAATTGGAAAACCTGAAAGTTCCTCACAGAGGTGGAACTAGCTTCTTTGAAGATCTTTGTCAACATTCTGCTCTCCTTTGTATTAGTTCGTTTTTCACTGCTGTGAGGAAATGGCTGAGCTGACTAACTTTATACAGAAAGGTTTACTTAGTTCACAGTTCTGAAAGGCTCAAGGACTTTGGTGAGGAACTCCTGGCCAGTGAGGCCACAGTAGCAGCAGCAGATGTGGAAGCGAGGGTCACATTGCAAAACAGGAAGCCAGAGGGAAACTGGTTCTACAGTGTTTCCGTGGGTAGCACTACCAGTGACCTGACTGACAGTCGCCTACTAAAAGCCCCATCTCCTGCAGCTCTGCAGCCTCCCACGTCACCAGACTGAACCTCTGGGAGACAAGCTACGTTCAGACTATAGCACACGGGACCGATGCTTGTGGCAGTTTAGTTTAGCAGTCATTATAATAGTATACTTGGAATCAGAACATTTATTCAGAGGAGAAAAATAGAAAAATAAGTGTGGAGAAAGACAGTACAATCAGCCCTCCATCTTTGCAGTCCCACAATAATGGATTCAACCAATTTTGGGATGAAAATATTTGAAAAAACAAAACAAAAAAAACCTTTTTTTGTCAGTACTGACCATGTACAGACTCTTTTTTCTTGTTATTCCTGAAACTATATGGTTTAAATACTATTTACATAGCATTTGCCTTGCATTAGGTATTGTAAGTGATGTAGAGATGGTTTAAAATATATGAGAGGATGTACATAGGTTATAAGCAAATACAGTACAAGGAGCTGGAGCATTTGAATGAAGCCTTTGCCATCTGTGGAGCTAATTCTCTGGGAATAGTGAGGACAGCCATGCACCTCACTCTTGGCCTTGATCTGGGCTACTATTTTGAAGATGTTTGAAGTGAAAAAGGCAAGATTTAAATTGTTTTAAGTTTGAATGTGTTAATGTTAAAAAGATGTATATTCTTTGTGTTCTTAATCATTAACATCATAGGTAAGTTTTTTTACAGGGATTTGGCTCAGAATTCAGTTTATTCTCTTTTTCACTACAGAAAGAATAGGACAGATTATGGAGGACAGGGATTTAATTGGTAGAATGATATTTTCAGGCAGGCTTATACAGTTAATAACTCCTTATAGATACTTCTCTAAACATTTCTTGAGGCTTGGGACTATTATAGAAATCGGAATTGGATGCTGACGGACAGGCATACAACCATGCAGGCACAGAACTACAGCAAGACAAGGAATGGGGTTGGGTTAAGCCTCAGGATGGGTGCTGTGGTCTTTCATTAGGCTGTAGTGAAGCTAAAGAGATGAGGCAAGACTAGGAGGCCAGGTTTATCTTGTGCTATCTGCATGCAATTTGAAGCCCACAAAAATGGATTCTTTTTTTCTGATTAACTGTAGAGACATCCAAGTGATGTGGAGGTGACTCTCATTAATTTTAACTCTTCCTGCTACAGTATCTTCCCAGTGAAAGAGGATGAGTAGGAGCTTAGGATGAGTAGGATGACTTGGAGAGCTGCTTTCTTGGTGTAGCAAGTTAGACCTGTAATATTTTTCCATAGGAATATCTTTGTAGATGACAAGAGGATGGGAAGTGCCTTTTGGTGAGCTCTTCTAGAACCAGCCATGGTCCATCATAGTATTTTACAGGAAAGTGACTCTGGATTTTACAAACCATTGTGGAGGCATAACTTTCTTACTCTTTAGAACCTATCTTCACTAATTATTTCAGAAATTGGAATATGCATAGTTTTAAGACATTTAAGAATCGTGCAAGCAGCCTAGAGGATGGCTCTGGGGGAAAATGGAGTGAGTTGATTCTAATCAGAGGTTTCTCAACCTGGCTGGAATTTTAGATTTTATCCCAGATTCTTTCTATATCAGGAGCTCAATCAGGGCTCTGGTACCTATAAGTGTTATTCACCTTTTCACCACTATTGAAATACCTAACTTAAGAAAAGAGGTATTTTTAGCTTACAGTTTTGCCTGTTCAGGGGATAGTGCTGGTGTCAGTTCAGCTCTGGTGAGGGCCTTCTCAGTTCCATCACATTATGGAGGATGGCAGTTGGTGGAACTGTGTGTGGGAGAAGTGATCACATTTCAGTACTGGAAGCCAGAGTGAAGGTGGGGGCAGGTCAGGGCTTTTATAGCAGCTGTCTCAAGAGCTCTGTCGGGTCACACAAGAACCACTTGTGAGGCTTCTGAGCGCAGAGCACTCAATTGACCTAGGATCTCCCTCTGCCATCCCCCCAACCGCCAGTGAAAAAGTGGTCCTCACCACCTAACATCACCATCCTGGGAACCAAACTTCTACTACAGCAGCCTCTGGGGAGCTAGGGAGACATCTAGTATCTAAACCATAGAACTATATTAAAAGGCAAAAATAATCTCCCACGCTCATCCTTGGTTCCTCACTTTCTGAACCTGAAAATCTTATGCATATTGAAAGTTTTGCAAAACATACTTTTACTATACAAACCGGCAGGCTTACTTTTTGGTATTTACCCAAAAAAGTTGAAAACTTATATCCATACAGATACCTGCATTAAGCTTTGTTCATAACTGCCCAGACTTGGAAGCAACCAAGCTGTTCTTTAGAAGGTGAGTGAATATCATTCAGCACTGAAAAGAAATGAATTATCCAGCCACGAAAAGATATGGAGGAAGTTTAAATGTACTTTATTAAGTGAAAGAAGCCAGTCTGAAAAGGCTACATACTGTATAACATCCTGGAAAAATGCTAACCTATGGAGACACCAAAAACAAAGTGGTTGGCAGGAATTACAGAGAGGAACAACAAATAAGTGGAGCCACTTTTGGGGTGGTGACACTATTTTATATGCTACTGTAATCTAGGCACATACATGTCATTAAACATTTAGCCAAACCCATAGAAAATTCAGCACCAAAAGTGAGCCCTTAACGTAAAATATGAACTTTAGTTAATATTAATGTCAATATCGACTCATCAGCTGTAATAATTGTAGCACACTAATGCAGGCTGTAAAATTTCTGCTTACATTTTATATGATTTGTAAACTGCTGCAGAAATTTTTTTAAAGAACAGTAGCTTTAATAGACAGAAATTTTTTAAAGAATAGTAGCTTAAATAGATTTGTCCATTACATGCCAGGCATGCTGCAGGTGTATAGAGGTTGGTGGGGCAGACAGACACCACAGAATTCTGTAGAAATGAGAATGGGAAGTCCAAGGAAGAGCAGCCTGATTGAATCAATATAATACATGAGTCAATCGGGTGGATCCGTTAATTAATGTGGGGGTGAGGTTTGGTAGTTCGATAGGACTTTAGCAAGGTATAGATAGTAGGAGAGAGTGTATTTCAGGCAGAGGAGATTGCATATATAAGGC